CTGGAAGGATTGAGAGCTATCATTGTTAAGATAACCACAGAATCTCTGAGAAGAATGGGCTGTCCAAACGAGAGGGATGAGAGCATTGAAGGCTAAAACATTGAACGTTCATCAGTGTGGGTCTGTCAGAGGAGAAAGAGAAGACAGAGCAGGAGAAATCGGAAAAGAATGAAGTAAAATGATGTCATGAGAATTTAAGAGTTTCAAGACTGAATGGGTAGTTAACAATGCAAAGTGCAGCAGAGAAGTAAAGGAGAATAAAAACAAAGGGCTGCTGAACTTGATAACAAAGAGAAGTAATACTTCTTTATCAGTCTTTTCAGATGTTTATTGTCTCTGTAGTTTTTAGACATTGCAAGCTTTTGATAATGAATTTAATCCAGTCTTATTTTCCAAGCTGCTTACTTTTTTGTTCTCCTAGAACTGTCTCTATGGTCTAACCACGCCAGCCTGCTGACATTGTACATATTCCATATTTCTTTGGGGCGCAAGCATACTAACCATTCTCTACTATTTTTCCACTTTTACCCTCCCTTTGTCTTCACGACACACCTGCTCAGCTAGTTTTATACTGAGTTGTGATGCCAGGTGCAGTTCCTAAAGTGCAGGAAAGTGAAAGTGCTGTCAAATTGCCAACTGTTACCGTTTAATAAGCTAAAGCTACTTTTTTCTCACCTCTAACTTCAACTTTGCCTTAGATCATAGTTAATGAATATTCTTGAAAAGTATATATTTTTGGTGTTACAGATGTATCTTGAAAACCCACTGTTTTATTCTAGACAGAAAATCCAAGAATGGAGAGACCATATACATTTAAGGATTTTGTTCTTCACCCAAGAAGGTCAGTAAATATGAAATAATAACATATGAAATTTTTTTTAATCTCTTTATACCTTACAGTAGCCTCTTTGGAAATTCAGTTTCAACCTTTGTAAATAAGCTACATATAAATATTAGTTTTTAAAAGCTTTATTGCTATTTCTGATTAAAAAGTAATATATGCACAGTGCAAAAATTCTGAAAATACAGAAAAGTGATCATACCCCTTTGGGAAAGACTTGTCTCCCTTATATTTATCATACTATGAGAATGAAATTTGTCATTAGTTTATATGTATTTTTTATCTTACAGTATACGTAATTTTGTCATACTGCGCTTTAAAAAATCACAAACATCAATTCATGTAAAAAAAACATCCAGGGAATTCCCTGGTGGTCCAGTGGTTGGGACTCAGCACTTTCACTGCCATGGCCCTGGTTCAGTCCCTGGTCCGTGAAGTAAGATCCTGCAAGCTGTATAGCACAGCCAAAAAAAAAATCCAACTTGATACACACAAAACCATTTTCAGGGATATATAACTACATTTAGCATACTTTCATTTAAAAAAAGATATTTCAGAAAACTCAAATATTTAGAGAAAATAACATGAGCAAAGACTATAATTTACAACCCAATAGCCTGTTCATAATTTCATTTTCCTAAACTGAATTACTTTATTTTAGTCAAAATTTTTAAGTTTAAGCTGTAAATAAAACTCCTTTTGATCTTCTGAACCACAGAATCAAGTAAAATCTAGTGAAGATGTGTCTGTGGCTTTACTGTCAGAAAGGGCAGAGTAAAGCAGAGGAAGGAAATCTGTGAAAACAACATTATATGTTTTGTGTTTAAAACTAGAAAATGCAATTGAAAAATATAGTATGGGAACTTAGTAAAATTTTTGATTAAAATATTTTATATTTTTAATCAAAATTTTAAAGTATTCATTGTAATATAAATTATTAAAATAAATAAAGGGGACAGTGCTTTCTGTCTGTGTTCATATTTACCATCTATAAGAGAAACCACATATTTAATTTCTCCAGAAGTCTTGCAGTATAAGTCTCTTTTCTTCCTTTAATTTTGGATTGACTGTGACATCTGTCTATCAAGAATAACTAAATAATTCTTTCTTCTCTTATTTGGTTGCTCTAGTAACCTGCTTTTCAATTTGTCAAATGCTTTCCAGTATCTTTATCTTCAAAACACATCTTCTGTCTGCACTGGGTATTACTGCAAGTGCAGAAAGAGCTTTATCCAACTACATTCTTAGATTTTTTTGAGCATCACTAAGCCCAAACCCACAGGCATATTATCTAGTTGGAAAAACATAATAAAACCTATCATTGTGGAGAAACTCTCCTATAAAATATTATCTGAGTAAGTTTTCTGTATCCATCTTTTATAACAAGTCAGAGTGTTCACACCCCCTTAACTATGGAGACAGGAGTCACGTTAGTGGCCTGGGAAATAAGCATCAGGGGTTTTATTGACCACTCAGGGAAGGTACACTTTCCAAATCCGTGAGAACTGTGTAGAGAAGAGCAACTAAAAAGCTTAAGGGAGGCATTGGAGGTGGGGTGGGGTAGGGGAGTATCTCTTGAAGACAGGATAAAAGATTAGGACTTTTATGTCATATTACATAACTGAAATCTATTTTTAAAAATACCCAAAAAACCTATACAGAAAGCTAGGACAAGCAAGGATTTCTTAAGTACACAGGATGCTAGATTTGGTGGGGGCAATAGACAGAGTTAGGTCTTCAGTTAGAAGCTTAAGACAGGTTTTAAGATCCTTAAATGTTACTACACTGGGCAGCAGCCCTTGACTTAGACAGCTCATTATTCAAAGAGGTGATACAAGATACAATATGAAAACAGATGAGGTAAATTGACGTATGACAGATTCAAACAGCTGTCAAAGACACTAGGTTTCAGGCAGTTATCCATCCATGCTCTCCACTTTTCTGTCATCTTATACAACATGGCTAGATTATTATCCCTAAAGCACATCTCTGAGGATGACTTTCCCTATTCCCAAAATGCTATGCAAAATAAAATCTAAAAGTTCTCTTATTTCACATGGATCTCATCAGCTAGACCATTTCCACTCCCTTTATGTATCCTGTAATTCAGCCAATCTCAGCTACTGCCATTTCCTTAACTGTACCCCAGGTTTCCCATCTATTTCCTTGTTTTTGCTCTCTTCTCTACTCATATGCCTTTCCCTTCACTGCCACAGATCAAAATCCTCCCCAGTCTTCTAGCCCCAACTCAAATGCCAACTTCTCTTTCAAATGCTCTCTGATCTTTCACTTAAACTTCCATAGTTCCTTATTTATCTCATAACAATTATTTATTTATGGATGTTCCTTTTTCTCCACCATCTATTCCTTTTCCTAAATATCTTCTGCACTGGAACTTGTCTTTGAATCTCCTCTAGTAGCTAGTAGATGTTCAGTAAACTCTTATTGAATGAGTGCTTTTCTTCTTAGTATTAAAATTTTGTGAATTATTATTTTCTTTTCTACAGTCACAAATCAAGAGTTAAAGGTTATCTGAGATTAAAAATGACTTACTTACCTAAAACCAGTGGCTCAGAAGAAGATAACACAGAACAGGCTGAGGAATTAGAGGTGAGATTTTATAAATATTTGGTTAAACTAAAAAGAAAATATCTAATTTCTTATTTTACTATACTCCGAAGAAAAAATAACTATTCAAATGAAGTTAATGTGTGAAATCAAAATTACTTCCCTGGACATTTGTTTATTTTACCCAAGAATTTGTTAAACATTTCTTTCCACTAAGGATATTTCTGTAGAATGAGTGGCCATTACTGATGGCATTCTTAAGGGTTAGGGAATAGAGATTGTAATGTTTATAAATGAAAGCATTTGTTGTAATTAAGTCATTAACTGTTTCTAGTTTTTCAGAGTTTTCTAAAACAATGTCATTTTCCCCCTCCATTAAAGTAAGAACACAATTTAGTATTTGTAAGTTAAATATGTGGAATATTTGAGGAGGCTCTACTAATTAGGGACTCTTCTATGAAATATAATTCCTGTTACTTTTCCTATCATGCTTGGGGTGGGAGTGGGCGGGAGGGCTCATAGAAAAGGAGGAGACTAAGAGAGAGACAGGGAGAGAATATAAGTCATCAAATAAAAAGCCACATTTATGGGGGGCCAGAAGAATTTAACCATCTTCACGGATGACAGGATAAGAGGAAGTCCAGTCAAGGATTTGAGCAGAACCACCTGCCTTTGGGGTGTGTGAAGAAGAGGCAGAGAGTATGTACTTGGAATAGAATTGGACAGGGATTTGGGGCCTGGAATCTTAGTTGCAAGCTCTGCTGCTTGTGAGTTGAGTGACCATGTGAGTGTCTGACCTCTGGACCTCAGGTTCTTCCTTTACAGAGTGACAGGGTTGTACCAGATGACCTCTGAGGTTTCTTCCAGCACAAAAATTCATGATCTGAAAAGGGAACAAAAACATTTGCCCCTTGAGTTTCCCACTGAAGGAACCTTATCATCAAAAGATAGCACCTTATTCTACCACATTGACTGAAAGCACCCAGTGTGCTGGCATCAGTCTGCTCTAGAGGGTTTTGTGTGTGTGGCTTCCTCAACAGTCATGCCTCTTTGATCAAGGTCTGCTGAAGTCTCCAGAACTATAAGGCTGAGGGACCCTTCCCCAGTGCTGGGCTCTGCATCACACACCCAAACGTCTTGAGAAAGAAAGTTCGAGAACAAGTAGTGCTTTTGCAACAAAGCTTTCTGGGAATTTTTTATATGCACTAATGAGACTTTACTTTGTTGGGGAATTCATAATAACAGAAAGAAAGAACTATTTTTCTTTAAATCATAGACTGTGGTTAGCCCTTACTCTGGCAATCAAAGAACTTGGTATCCTCTCTTAAGTCTGATTCCCTTATTTGATTCCCTTGTTTTTCATTTTAGTTTTTCTGTGATTTGTCATATAACAGTTTTTTTTTTTTAATTTAGAAATTTATTGAGTAGAATTTTCTGTACCTGGCATTTTGGTGCACAGGGAAACCTGAATAATGGAATTCTGTTTGAAATGAAGGATGTCTGCTGTAAAGAAAGAAAATCCTTTATTTAGTAACTTAAAAAATTTTTAACAGCATTTCATTATTTGGTAACCTGCTCCAAGTTTTGCCCACACACACATATCACAGGTACCTTATTCACAGTTCAGTTTCTGTGGGTAGAGCTGCTTCACTTCATTTTGTGGTCTCATGTCTCAGTGTTTGAATTCCCTCAGAATGCACCTTATAATTTCAGTAGATGTAAGCATGTAGGAGTTTATTTATGAAAGGCCCTAGGAATTCAAACACATGAATCTGTGCTTATTTATCTTCTGTGTAGCTAATGACCAGAGAAGTCTTGTCTTTGACATTTAGTTTGTGACTGAATATATAAAATCTTACCATTTAAAGAAAACAATTGTAATTTTCAGAAGAGGCTCACTCTTAGGCAGTGTATGCCCTAGTACAATAAAGTGTGGCTATAATAGATAATTGTATAATATTTGATTTTTGCCCCTCTTGTAACTTTAGGTTTAGTTCTATGTATTTTACACAATTACCGTATAATATAATGTTTGTTGTACCTCTAAATGCTTTCTTTCTGGACTTTGACTCCGTTAAATTGTGGGCAGTTGCATATTAGCTTTGAGGTTAGTAATAAAGTAACATACATTGATACTTAGAAAATTATTTTGTGAATAATATTAGCTGATACATATTTAATAGGGAGGCATTCTCTACAGAAAATGAAAACTCATTCTTTCTAAACAATGTTCAAATGTGTAACTGTACTTCCTCTTGGAACTGAAACAGGTTTTTTAAAAATATGCCCTTACTTAGTTTTTTTCCCGTTCACAAGTTTACTTGGGTAACATAAATTCAATAAGTAGACCTTTAAGAGAGAACTCTTTGGGCTTCCCTGGTGGCGCAGTGGTTGAGAGTCCGCCTGCCGATGCAAGGGACACGGGTTCGTGCCCCGGTCCGCGAAGATCCCATATGCCGCGGAGCAGCTGGGCCCGTGAGCCATGGCCGCTGACCTTGCGCGTCCGGAGCCTGTGCTCCCCAACGGGAGAGGCCACAACTGTGTGAGGCCCGCGTACAGCAAAAAAAAAAAAAAAAAAAAAAAAAAAAAAAAAAAAAGAGGGAAATCTTTAAGAAGATTTTAAAGAAATATTTTTGATACCATTTTCCAAGCTCTGAATATTTTCATAATCCTTCACAGCAGAAGTGAGGATCCTTTTATTAATAAATTTTATTAATCTGCAGAAAAAGAATCAGTGACCATATTTTTTTAATTAGTCTTTTTTTTCAAGAGAGTGAAATATAAAAGTTCAACTCTAACACTTTTGAAATTGAGACCAGAGAAGTAAAATGTGATTTAATATGTGTAAGACAAATTTTTAGATATATAGATCCTATATCATGATCATTTAAAGGAAAGGAAAGGAGTGAGAGAAGGAAGGTAAACAGATGGAGAGAAAAAGTAAGGGGTTAGAGGGAAGGGAGAGAGAATGGAGTTTGGGCAATAAAAAGAAAGAAAAGAAATTAACAAGATATCAGTTCCCATAGAAGAAGATATAAAGAAGAAAATAGGCTAAGAAGGAAAAGGAGTCTGTTTTACTTCCCATCCAGATTCCTTTTCCCAGAATAATTCTGTCTGTCTTCCTCTCTCCTACACCTCACCTTCCTTTCTGCCTTAGTCTCTAACCTTCCCACTGGAGCTAGCCAGAAGAAACGAACCTTGCTGCAGAAACCCCTATCCTTTTCTCCCAGAAAACATTTCTTTTCTTCCCAGCTCTTCTCCTTGACCCTTCCTCTTCAGAACCCACCTTCCAACATAGAAGAATTCTCTTCCATCTTCTAAGCCGTCAACTGGCTGGCACACAACAGTCCTTCAGTGCTAGATCTCCAATGTCTAGAACAAAAGGCTCTCTATATATTAAGGAAATGATTTTTTTACCTATTATTATGGTATCAAATATGTTCCCCAGCTTGCCTTTTTTTTTTAACTTCAGTTTAGTAGTTTTTGCCATGTACAAATTTGGGGGGTTATAATCAAATCACTCAATCTCTTTTATGCCTTCCAGGTTTGATGTCATACTTAAGGACTCCTCCACTCTTAGAATATTTTTTTTTAATATCCCCAGGTTTGCTCTAATACATTTTGGTTTTACTTTTTAACATTTTAAATATTGCTCAATCTGTAACATTCTGGTTATAAGGTATGAGGTAGAAACCCAGATAATTGTTTTCTTTTTTTCTAAGTAATTTGCCTATCTTCCCACAAATTTGAAATGTCTTTATCATATACTAAATTCCTATAAATTTGATTCTTTCTGAGTTTTCCAATTCTATTCATTATTGTGGTTTGTGGTATGTTTTATCTGATAAAGTTAATCTTCACTCTACTTTTTTGGAAATGTGCTGATTATTCTTGTTTTTATTTCTATTTGAACTTGAAAATTGCCTTATCTTGTTATTTTCAAAAAAATCCATAATGTAGTTCTATTGGAATCTTGGCAACTTTATAAATTAACTTGGGGAGAATTGACACCTTTCTGAGATTAAATCTTCCTAGCCAAGATCACATTATGTCTCTTCATTCATTCAGGTCTTCTTTCATGTCCCTTTAGGAGAATTTTTAAGTTTTCATCACTAGTGTATTTATGCTTCCTAACCACGTTGATGTTTAGCAGAACCTTTTACTGACTGCCTTTTCTGTTATGAGGTTTCTTGTATAAAAGCATGTCACTAACCCTCGCTATCCTTTTCAAATAATTCCTTACTCTATAACTACCCTAGCTAAGGGTTTTTGTATGTTTGCCCCTTGCTAGTCTCAGAGGAAATTTCCAATGCCTTCCTAGCATATAAATAAAACAAAACAAAACTTTCTTTCTTTGACTGTTTTATGACCTGACCAAATGCCTTTCCATCGTCCAGAGGAGAAAGAGAAAAGTCAGACCAGAGAATCATCATGTCTTTTCCATCACTCAATTATTTCTAAATCATTTGCCCTTCCCTATCATGCCTCTACGTATTTGACCTTCCAGTGATTTTTTTTTTTTCAGGTTTCAGAGAGTTGTTTATTTCCACCATAAACAAGGTGCTTTCTCCGTGGGAGAGACAATGCCCAATAAGACATTACCCCTGTTTATAAGTTAGAGAATAGAGTAAGGTTAAACTATGCTTTTCAATTTCTTAGTGCCTTCCAGTGCTGTCTGTTTATTTGAAAGTTTTCTGTGTCCTTTTTCTCCTATTAGACATGTTTTAAATTTTTTCAGAAAAAAATTTTTTCAAGCAAAATTTAAATGTTATCATTTTGCAAAAAAAAAAAATCTTCATTATCATAAGATATTCTTATTATGGTCTTAAAAGTTGACAATGTGCTAATTCTGTCTTTGCATAGTTTCTGGAACTGGGAGTGCTAAATCTCTTTTAAAACTCCCTCTAGCATAATTTATAAGGTTAAAAAAATTAAGCACACACTTAATTGTTAACCATTCTGTTTTTCAGCCTGGCTGGGTGGTTTTGGACCAACCAGATGCTGCTTGCCATTTGCAGCAGCAACAAGAACCTTCTCCTCTACCTCCAGGATGGGAAGAGAGGCAGGATATTCTTGGAAGGACCTATTATGTAAACCATGAATCTAGAAGAACACAGTGGAAAAGACCAACCCTTCAGTATGTGATGACTTTCATGTTTGTAATCTGAATGCTTTTGGACCACTAGTTTTCATTTTGAAGTCATGGCTCAAATGGATTCATAATAGTGTGGGGATCCAAAAACTGCAAGAATGCTAGGATTTTTATGGCCCAGGGCTTTAAAAATGCTATCATGGATGCTTCTTTTTTAAAATGATTTGATAGTATTAGAAAGTATTTGAGTCACAAATACCACCCTTCTAATTGCTTCTTTATTTTAATAAATTGCCAGTTACTTCTGTTTTTAATTAGAGCCACAAAAGAAATATTTTTCTCTTGAGACGAATTTAGAAAATCTTGGAGATTTTTTTGTAGTTTGTTACTAAAATATAATGAGATGTTAATTTCTACAGTACAGTATTTTTAAAGTGTAAATTATTTATAAAATTGAAAGGACTCAATAATAAGGTCTTTTGTTAAAAACCCATTTGCCAATCTGGTCAATGTATACATAATTTCCAATGTACCCAAATCAAGGACAGAATGGCCTTTGAGGTATTCTGAGTTATGTTTCCTCAGTGACATTTTTCTTTTATTATCATCAGACTGTACGTTTGTAAATAACATTTATAAATTCTTCCATTATTCATGTTTATTATCAAATATCCTTCCACTTATCCTTCCTTATAACCTTATGAAGTCTTTCTTTAGTTTTCTACTTTTTGACACAGACATAAAATTTTTCTTATTTGTCCCTTAATGTTCTAATTTTTGGCTTTGGTATTTTGTATCTGATATAGTCCAAGCACTTTCATATATACTTTCCCTTCTCACATCCTTCCAAAGCAAATTAATGATCCAGGTTCTTCGTGTCACAGAGGCATTGATCTCTGTAGAATGGCGTACAGGTTGCAAGACTGAAAGCACGATAAATTTCTGCAACATCCTCCTGTTGTATACCTCAGTATTATGGCAAGCCTGACTTGAGCAGAATCACATTTTTTTCACTGTGGTTGGTGTTGTTTTCACCCAGCAAAAATCATCTATTTAGGAGGAAAAAAGTGTGAGGCATTCCCTTAGGACCACTATGTTTTCTCCAGCAACAGTGCAGTAAGAACTGGTCTTCTGACTATCCTGGGCTTATCTGGCATTAAATAAATGAACAATAATTTTGTTATTAAATATCTGTACAAAATTCTAGATCTTATGGTCTGGCTATATTAAACACAGCTAGCTAGAACAGTATAACTAAGAAATGACTGGGGAGTGGGTGTTCAGTCTGATTAACTGTACCTTTCCTAGATTCAGACACGCCTTTACTACTGTCCTTTTTCAGAAGCGGTCCATTACTGTATATGATCAAAAGCAGACAGATACCATTTAATCTGTACTCTATCAAGTTTTAAATTATAGTGTCCTTACACTGTCTTTCCTTCTGCGCTCTACGTTCCTACATGGGAAATCTACCCTTGGCTAAAGATCAGTTCTGGAAAATGTTACTGTCTGATTCATGAAGATGTATATGTAACTCTTAAAGCTTCTGTTTTATGAACTTTCTGGAGCTACTTTATATTTTACTCTTGTAAGAACATGGTGAAGTAATAATATAGTGAAGTTATTTATGAAACTCTCAGGTATTCATTCATTCAACAAATACTTTTTGAGTGCCCATATATGGGAGACATTATCCTAGGCACAGTGATGAATGAAAATATTAGGCAAATTACACATTTTCACAAAAACTTTAACTCCATAAGGTATTCTTGCAGGTACCGTTGTGCCTAGGCCTTAATCTATGCATTTTGAAGCAGCCTTTGGCCCAGAACAATAAATTCTGATCTAATATAGGTTTTTTTTTTTTAATGAAAACAGAATTTTTGACTATCACTTTAACTCTATTCAGACGTGGGTGATGGCTTTTACATTTCTAATACAGGGACAACCTAACAGATGCTGAGAATGGTAACATTCAACTGCAAGCCCAGCGTGCATTCACCACCAGGCGGCAGATATCTGAGGAAACAGAAAGTGTTGACAGCCGAGAGTCTTCCGAGGTAGAAATCATTTTCTCATTCTTGTTGATAGACATATGTTACAGCAGTAGATTAAGGTATGTGTGGCTTAAGCTTATTGTGTTCATTTTAGAACTGGGAAGTTATAAGAGAAGATGAAGCCACCATGTACAGCCATCAGGCCTTCCCCTCATCTCCACCATCAAATAACTTGGATGTCCAGACTAATCTTGCAGAAGAATTGAATGCCAGACTCACTGTTTATGGAAATTCAGCCACTGGCCAGCCAGTATCCAGCTCAGTAAGATGGCCTTAGATTTTGTTGGAGCTTCAGGATTTTGTATTATATATTATTCCATTCAGTGTCTAAAGACTGAATGTTATCTTTTTTCCTCCAGTTTTACTGAGATACAGTTGATATAACACATTGTATTAGTTTAAGATGTACACCATAATGATTTTATAAATATGTTGCAAAATTATAGCCACAATAAGTTTAGTTACTATCCAACACTTCACAGGTTTTTTTTTTTTCTTGTGATGAGAAAAAAATTGTCTTAAGTTACACGTAATAATGTGTTAGGGACTTTGGTACTTTACAGCACGGTCGTTTTCAAATATCCCCACTAATAGTATGAAGCAGAGTCATGGAAAATCCATATGGTCATTGGAGTCTAAATGTCCATTACATAAATCAGTGCCCTCCAGCCAAAGGCTGCCAGGAACACACCTGTAATTGAACAAGTTGGGTTTATTACTCATTTCAGCAAGGGGAAAACACACCACGAGTGTCTCAGTAGCAGTATGTTAGGAAAGAATTAAAGGATTTGGGCTCATGTTAGTCAATTTTGAGGAGGGTTTAAGGAAGCAGGTCTTTGCTCTGCATTGGATCCTGTCAGGAAACAGATTATTCTGTGATTGGGTATCTCAAATCTTATCTGTCATGAGACTAAAGCTATATTTAGCAAAAAAGCAGCAGTCACTTATATCTGCCAGGATAGGGAGATAATTGGTATTTTGTGGCTTGGACAGTGTTCACATTTTGCTGTGTTTAGGCATGATTACAAAGTAGTGTTGATTTTGTCTTGATGATGCTGATGAGTGCCAGGGTGGGTCCTGGGTGTTTAGGGTTACTTTTCTCCTTCTCAGTTATACCACACATGTCACCAACACACATGTGAATAAGAGCTGATGTACTTTGACTAAACAAGAAGATAGATGACCTTCTCACTCCAGCAACTGCTTGAAAAATTGCTGTCTGTGGGATCCAGAAGCAAATATTCCAGCATACACTGCCCTGATGAGGTCCTTGTGGCTAGCTCTCTAATCTTATCAAGGGAGACCTTTCAGTGGAAGACAAAGAGGCATTTGAGTATGCTGTGGTCATTTCCAGTTGGAATTCCTTGCTTTTCATTCAGTTAGTAAATATGGAGGGCTGACTGCATGCAGGTTATATGCTGGTTAAAGTATCTTCAGCATACAGCCCACCTATCTGTTTAAGTATTGCCTATAGCTGCTTTCACGCTAGATCGACATAGTTGAGTAGTCGTAGCAGACACCGTTTGGCCCACAAAAAATATTTCCTATCTGGACCTTAACAGAAAAAGTTTGCTGACTTCTATTCTAGCACCTCCCTTAAGAAGCTTCAATGTAGACAGTTCTATGTAAACGCCTGTGTGAATATCCAAGAGCAGGGCTGCCTGCCTGCTCCCTTCCCCTCCTTTCTTCCATCCATCTATTCTATCTTCCATTCATTTCATTTTATTTTTTTTGTCAGAGGAGTGGGAAAGGTCAAAGACTTAAAGGATAAGCTATATTGACTTGCTGGTGATAAATCACATAAGGTCCTATTCCCTTTCTTCCTGTTACTATCATTTTTTTAATTATAAAACAGGGAGATCAGCTCGGTGCTTTATGACCACCTAGAGGGGTGGGTTAGGGAGAGTAGGAGGGAGACTCAAGAGGGAGGAGATATGGGGATATATGTATATGTATAGCTGATTCACTTTGTTATAAAGCAGAAACCAACACACCAGTGTAGAGCAGTTATACTCCGATAAAGATGGTTAAAAAAAAAAAAAGTAAAAGGTGGCATCTATACAATGAAATACCATGCAGCCCTTGAAAAGAATGAAGCGTCTTTGAATGTATATGTTGTATGGAACAATCCCTAAGAGATATTGTTCGGTGGAAAACACCAAGGTACCGAACAGTGTGTTTGGTACGTTACCATTTATAAAATTATTTACATGACAGAGAATAAATATGTGAATCATATTTCTTGAAAACGAAACTAAACTTGGTAACATTGCTTAGCTCTGAAGAGAGGAACAGGGTAAACAGGGCACATATCTTTTGTACCTTTTGAATTTCAGACCATGTGCATATTAATTCAAAAAAATTAATTTATTATTTTTAAAGTATTATATGATCATGGTTAAAAATTGAAACAGTACTGAAGTCTATAAAGTAAAAATTGAATCTTCCATTTTACCTCTAACATGTGCTCCCTCAATTGCCATTAATGGTTTGGCATATATAGTTTTAAACATTTTCTACACATTCATAAACATGCACGCACAGACATATTTGTATATCATTTTTTTAACCTGAGATCATCTTGTACGCACTTTCTGGTAACTTACTTATTTTACATACTGTATCATAGACATTGGACCATTTCAGTAAATATAGATGTGCTCTTTTTAAAACCAACAACAACAAAATAATCACACATCATTCCCTTATGTAAGTAACCCTTAAGCTATTTCTCCAGTCTCCTTTGATGGACTTTAGATTGTTTACAGTTCTTTGTTATTGTAAACAATCCTACAGAGGCTCCTCTGCCTTAATTTGTACATATATTATAAATTTTAATGTCATTAAGTAACAGAACTAAAATATTTCAGATGGCAACAACAGCGTGCATATAAAAGCACAAGGAAAGAAAAATTATGCGAGTTCCAGGAAACAAGTAATCTGAAGTGTCCAGAGGGTGGGTTGTGAGATTGGAGGGCTGCAGCCAGCAGGAAGAGCCAGGTCCGGAAGCTCACTAACATTGTGTTCTGTGCTGTAGATTTTATCCTAGTGAATTTAAGTCATTGAAGGGCTCAGAGTGAGAGAATGATGTGATGAAATCTGCGAGAGTAGATTTAAGCAAATAAGACTTGCAGCAAGCACATCTGTTAGGATGTTGCCACAGTAATAGCCAAGGTGATAAATGATGAAAACTTGAAGTTTAAAAAAAAGTGTAAGGGAAATGTATTTGAGAGCTAGTAAAGAAATAGAATGCATAGGATGTGGTAACTGACCCGGCTGTAAGGGACAGGAGGGGGAGAAATCGGGGGCTGACCGATGCCTGCCTAGGGCAGCTGCTGGCCTCCCTTGCTGCCCACTGAGACAAGGAATACCTGCGAAGGAACAGGTTTGAGTGGGTGTGGACAGGGAAAAGCTGAATCCAGTTTTGGACACAATAAAGGGTTCTCTATTAGACCTTCAAGAGAAAGTGTCCAGGAGACAGTCTAGGACTCGAGGGACAAGTGTGAGCTGGAAGTTGGAAGGCATCGGCGGCGGTGGCGTGGTGTTGAGTGAGGCTGAGGGTGGGTGGGGTGGGTGTTCTTTCTTCTGCCCCATCATACCCACCCTGCTACCTTATCTGCCATTCAAAGATGAAGCAGAGACCTAAGGTTATTATCGTTCTTTTTTTTTTCTTCTTTTATAAGAATCATTCCAGCAGAAGAGGCAGCTTACAAGCCTATACTTTTGAGGAACAGCCTACACTTCCTGTGGTGAGTTTTAGCCTCTCCCCTCAATCCTCAATAAAAATATAAGACGCAGCAACTTTTTTTTTTTGGAACGCTGAACATGAACGTTTGATCCAGCACAGCATCTGGGCTCTGGGGGATGAGGTTGAGGGAGGGGAAATGGGATAGGTAGGCCCTTTAAAGACAAAACCTGGAGAACTGTCTCTCCCATCATGAGAAAGCCAAGTCCCCATGTGCTGGTGGGTAGCGTCTGGGCTTGGCAGGTGAAGCGCTGTGTGGGCTGGAGGTGTTGCATACAGATCGAGACTGTGGTCTCCAGTGGCCTCTGCTCTGTGCCTGGCCCGTGGCATCTTCCAACTGTTTCCGCCCCGTGCATGAAGCTGCGTCAGGGGCCGGTCCCTCAGGCAGGTGTGCCCTGGTGTCTGCAGGCTTGGCGGCCAGGATGGACTTCATCAGCCCGCTGAGGAGCCGCCCGCTGCTTCCTCAGTAGCATCTCCCGCCATGACCTGGACTGGAGCTTAGACCTAACAACGTCATGGCCTCCATCCTCTTTCTGACTCAACCATCATTGCTTTGAGTTTGTCTCTTCCTCAGATGGTCCCCGCTTGTTTTTTAAACCAAATGTCAACACCCAGGCTCCTGGCCCTTTCAGCCTCCCCTCCCTCTTAGCCACCCACAGACCGCCCCCCCCGACCCCCGCCAGCCACCTTCCCTTCTGTCTGGGCTCTTTCTTCCAAATAGCCTGTTTCCATGTCCTAATTCTCTCCGCATTCTGGGTCTGTGAGTGTTCCAGTTCCCCACTTGGACTGGCTGCCTCACTTTTTTCCCACCAACCATTTGTGATTTTGAATGGCAGTCTGTATATTAATTTTGAAAAGTGGGGATTGTTTTTGCTTTCACGGGAGTTCCAGCAAAGGAATGCACAGGCCCAGAAGTCCTCGACCTAGGAGTGGCTTATGTATCTAAAAAGGTGGCCCTGCATCAAGAGAGGGACATGGACCCTGTGCTGAGGAAGGAAGGGGTACCCACCTGTGCAGTTGGTCCAGTCACCATTGACCATCAGCAAAGAGGGTGGATGCCACGGCAAGACTGCCCTCCCCAGCCTTCCTCTCACTTACTGCCCCATGTCTGTCCACCTCCACTCGCCTGGAGCCACTTAAGGAGATCCCTGGTATTTCTCCCGCCTCGCTTCATCATTTCCTCTATGCATTGAAACTGGTGAATTTCTGATTGACTGACAGGCACTCATCCGAGAAACTATTTGAAGTGCACCGGATGAGCCATAGAATCTAGACATGATTTACATTTTATGTACTGGAAAAGCTATTTCCATGCCTTTTTCTTCTCAATACATTGATCAGAGGTCTGTCTTGTTTGGTTGCTTGTTTACAGCTTTCTTAAGGTATAATGTACATGCCATAAAATCCACCCATTTTTAAGTACACAAATAAATGAGTTTTAGTAAATTTATGCAGTTGTGCAAATATCACCACAGTCAAGTTTGAGATTCTCCCATCGCCACAAAAAGTTTTCTTAATCCTAATACCTACTCTCAGCCCCAGGTGAACACATCTGCTTTTGTTGCTAGTTTTGTCTTTTCTAGAAATTTCCTATAAGTGGAACTATACAGCATGCCGTCTTATGTATCTGGCCTCTTTCACTTCATATGATGTTTCTGAGGTTTATCCATGTTGTTACATGTCTCAGTAGCTCATGATATTCCATCGTGTAGTTACGTCTACTACATCCCATTTATCTACTCACCAGCTGTAGGACATTTGTAAAGTTGGGCAAATTTGAATTCCATTATTTTGTAGACTCACAGCCCATCATAACTGTCAGCAATGTACATCTAACCCCCGTACATCTAGGGAACAGTATATCTAGTGAACAGACTAGTGTGATAGTTTTTATATGTAGGACACATTAGGGAACCAGGCGAAACCTTGAAGAGTCTAATCTCTAATACAAAACGGGTACTTCCCTGGCAGTCCAGTGGTTAAGACTCCGCATTTCCAAGGCAGGAGGCGCAGATTTGATCCCTGGTCAGGGAGCTAAGATCCCACATGCCGCACGGCCAAAAAATTTTTTAAAATTAAAGCTCATGAAAAAAAGACAAAAGGAAGGCCAGACCTGGACTATTTTAAGTAAACCTGGAAAACTAGACCTCTTTTGTTCATTAGTAATACACTACCATAATCGGCATGTCCCCAGCCCTTACAGAAAGAAAGCAGGGGTAACTTTTGACTTGGCCCATATGGGTGATCATATCTGTAGTTGGACTACCTGGGTTCAAATCTCAGCTCCATACTAGCAATGTTATCTGGTAGGAAATTGCTTCCATTTTCTAAGCTTCAGTTTCATCCTTAAGTAAAATGGGCCAGTAATCTTAATTATCTCATTAAGATTTGTGTGGAGGTTAAATGGCATGATCTGTGTTAAAGCACTTAGTGTGTGGTTGTTATTACTCTCGTGATTTTTAGTGTTGTTATCATTCTCATCATTATTATCTGTTCTACTGGAGGTTTTTTTTTTAAGTGAAATGCTGTACACTTTAAAATATGATTTAGGGCTTCCCTGGTGGCGCAGTGGTTGAGAGTCTGCCTGCCGATGCAGGGGACATGGGTTCGTGCCCCGGTCCGGGAAGATCCCACATGCCACGGAGTGGCTAGGCCTGTGAGCCATGGCCGCTGAGCCTGCGCATCCAGAGCCTGTGCTCCGCAATGGGAGAGGCCACAGCAGTGAGAGGCCTGCGTACCGGGAAA